CGCAAAAGGCCGATTCAGAACCAAAATCGACCGCCGCAACAGAAATGCCAACATTGACTGCGCGAATGACGGGCCCGGTCCGGCCTTCTGGAAGATCTCCAAGCCAAAGTGCATGAGTTGGATCAGCTCTTCGCTCAGCCGCAAGGCCTCATCATATGATATCGTAAGTTTCAGACTGTTAATGGCTTTGGCAATGCGAATTCGCAGGGGCAGTGACTGCAGAAGCAAAACCTGAAAGGTGCTTTGTGTGTATACCCCTATATCTTTGGGAACAGGGTCATCGACCATATTTTCCGTCAGCTGGGAATCGTCCAGGTTAGAGGGCGCCTCGCAATCGTATTCGTCCAGGTCGATCGTAGGCGGCATACCGCCATCCAAGGACGACTGCAAGTCAAGCTCCAAAATGGTTGCCCACAGCCGCCGACGCATCTCGGCCCAAAATCTTGTCATCTTACCAAATCGATGAGGATCCCGATGCAGTCCCATGGTCATGGCAGTCCGTATGAGCGAGCCCGAGGAGATCCACACAATGTCCCCGTCAATAGCATCGGCCTGCCGTGCAATCATCAAAAGACACTCGATCTGCAAAATGTTGAAATCGATGGTCGAGCTGACCATCGTGAACGCAATCCACGACCGAACACCGGCAATCCATTCAGCGGCTGCCTGATACACCCTGCTCTCCCCATTGATCTTAGTGTTCGGGCTCAAAAAACAGCAACTGGCTGCCATCAATGCCAGAAGCTTCGCCACAAAAGACGGTTCTTTCGGCTGCACTCCCGACCAGAAGTTTTCGTACTGCTCCAGGAAGGTTGGGATATGCAGAATACGGTGTGTCGTCTCAAATGTGGTCAGATACAAGTTGAGTAGTTCGTCAGCGACTTGTCGAGGCGGAACCATCTCCTCCAGCGAGGGAGACTTTTGTTGATAGGCGCGCTGGTGTTCCTGTCGCTCTCGAGCCCATATCTCCCCCTTGAAGTTCTTGAACTTCTTGTAGTTGGGGATTCTCTTCATCGTACTGCGGCGGCCCCGCATGAATTTGCCAACATCATCAAACTGCGGACATTAGCACCATCCACAAATCAGCCATGGCACAACACACACTTACAAAAGACAAAGAGACGGACGCATGGCTCCGTCCAACGAATCGCGTGCGGATTTTCTTCCCTCGGAAACAACACCGATCGGGAAGATCTTTCACATTATCAATGAGATTCTGCGACTCCGGACCCGAACGATGCCCGATGTCTACCGAGTCACCACCCAGACTTTCTGGAGTGTGCATACACCCAGTTTTGGAGAGAGCGCTTTCCAGGAACTGGATGCGACTACGCAGTTCGTGCAACTCGTCTGACCGCGCTTTCGGCTTGGTGACCCTGTTGGTGGACTGGTGCTTGGAATCAAAGACGTAGACGCCCCCGTGCGCCGGACTGGCTCGACTACTGGAGATGCGCACGCGTTCTGGCGGGGTGCGGGAAGCGCTCCCCGACCCCGGCGCCTGAGGGCCAACGTAGATGCATTGATCTGGCGTTTTGGACTTCATGCATTGCCCACATGGCAGAGAGCGGTCGCATTTTAACTTGCGACGCCTGCAAATGGTACAAGATAGGGGTGGTCTGCGCCGTCGCGGCGGAGACTTTGGGGAGTGATCTTCATCCATGGCCTTGGTGGTTAGAGCGACGTTCTTGTTTGGGAGCGATGATGTGACTGATGGTGGTGGGTTGGACCGACCGTGCCAAGTCACCTGATGCAGTTCTATCAGTGGTGGAGTGTGGTGAATTTGAAGATGAAGCGGAGGGCAGCGACCGGCAACATCAAAGTCTTATCTGATCTGTAAGCTTACGGCCGAGCCCCACGGGCTTCGCTGCCTAATTTGGCTCAGGAGGAAGACGTGGTCATTCAGGGAGCGTGGCACTTGATGGGCTTGAGTGGTTAGTGGCAGCCTGGGGGTACTTTTGATTCTTAGTAGTATCTAGTTAGTCGATGGTTTAGTCGGCCTCTTTCAGGAGTCATGCGGGATTACGCATCGGATTTGCTTGATGTGGATGTCCGAGTACTCGGAGTTACTTTTTCAGGCTAGCTTCCCTGACATAAGCAAGTTTGTCAATGATCCACAACATGAAAAGGCAATGAACTAAGGGGAACTTCGCTTGTTGAGAAGCCATCCCAGGCAGTACCTTTATATATCAAGTGATACAAGTCAAGTTCTATTTATACTGTATCTAGCATGTCGAAGATGACCGTCTCTTCTGGAAAGATAGTGGAGGGAACGGCAAGCATGACAACATCAGATGCCGGCTCTAGCTGAGTCTGGTCTAGCTCCATTTTCCCATAAGGCTGAACATTGCACAAGTGCTTGTATCTTACGCTCTTCTCCCACAGATAAATAGTAAATCAATCAGAAAGAAACAGGAGTAAATATTAGTTTTCAGGCATTGACTGGCACAGTCTTATCCCCATCATAGGGTACCAAACTCGTCCTCATGGCTATAGATGCGTTGATAGATATCTTGAACAATGGAGCTGCTAAAACAATCTGTTCAATCTCGGCCTTCGGGCCTAGCTAACCCCGAGGATAGTCAATACTCTCCTCTAGTACTTGAAAGAGTAGTTTTGGGATTTTCTGCACTGGTCTTGTCTGGGTGCTGTGCCTAAAAACTAATAATCTCACGACGTATCAGACTCGTGCTGGTGTCCTCTCCTATCAAAGTCATCCATTCCGGAGCAAGACCACGTAGATACGCTATATATAATGGGAGAACAGCGATGGGATTTTGAACAGCTTCCATGTGAAAGAATCTCCTCCATTTCAGGAGTGGGGTCCGACTAGCCTCTTGATGTTAGCTTGGTGATCCGGTCTCAACGTAGCATGTTTCTTACGTGATAGTCTGAGCCCACCTGTCGAACATTTTGTCCACTTCCATGCTCCCTTCCACTCTATTGCCGACAGGTTCTGACCACTTCATTCATATCACCATAATCCATCCGCAAGTCTCTGTCGGCTCCTAAGCAGTACTACAATTTGCTATGTCGATTACTAAAGAACACCGAAGGAACAGTAATTAAGTCCAGACCCCTGAACAGGTCTGGCTTCTCCTAGAATCAGAATAGGGCCTAGTGTAGGTATAAAACCCTGTCGGCACATAGTAGCATACCAGAGTAAGTGTCTGAGTCGCCCATGAGAGAAGCAGATGGTGACGAGGAAGGCATGGGTAGTCCTACTGATGGTGCCCCCTTCTACCTACTCCCCTGCTTGTTCTCCCATTTGTATCTCATCAACTTCTTCTCAGCTAGCATCAAATTCCATGTTGAAGCAAACTGGTACCAACGAGCACCGCTATCTTCTAGCCACATTGTGAGTCCGCGAGGTACTCTATCGAGCCTAATATCCCCTTTGCGAATGAGATCAGCTGCCCATCTCTGTCCACGAGTGGTAGCAGCCACCATGTCGTGCACGATAGTGCAAACCCGAGCGTCTGATAGATGCGCGTTCCATGGGGGCGTTGTTCGCATTTTTACGCCTAGCCTGCTCTCACTTCGTGTTCCACTCTGTGGGTCAGAACGCAGCTGATCAGTGTAAAACGTTTCGTCTCTAACCTTTCTGATATGCTTTCAGCATTTCTGTTATATCGTCTTTGACATTGTCAGGTTGTTCCCACGTTACCTCTCCATTCTTCCAGCGGATCAACACTTCGTCTACTTTGATTAGATGTATACGGTCTGCCTCGTATTTTTTTTCTGGCCGTCTACAATTACTGGCGGCGTAAGCAACATCAAGTTATTATCTGGCATGCTCATCATTGTGCGCTTGCTCTATATGGGTTATGCTAACAACGAGATGGGTCACTTAGTCAGGTGGCAGGCGCAGCATAAAAAATAGGATAGAGGCTATAGTCCCACGCCAATACCCACACGGTCACATTCGGTCAACCTCAGCAGGGAATAGTGATAACACTTGCCAAAGTCGACATAGAAATTGGCTATAGCGTCTTGCCGGTCAGGGATGTGGAGGAAGAGGAGGTTTTATAGCACCAACCGTACCTGACGCATACATTCGACCATCATTCATCCTTTCATTTAATATAGACAGTATCCTTGATTGTTCACCTTGAGTAGTCATATGATGAATTACTTGCTGCCACTGCCATCTCTACGAATAACTATGCGAACATGGAAGACATGCAGACACCTCAGGTTGAAATGTGAGTCAAATACAATATATACAGGGTCTTTGCCATTGTCAAGTGAGTTTGCTATATTCGCGAGGTTATCCACTAGCTCCAGACTTGATCTACCGATGTGCAAGGCATTGACCGCAACATCAACATAGTCTCGGTCGATCATGTCCATGGCGATGGCTGGTCCGGTGTCTACACCGCATCAAAGACCTAACTCAGCGACTACACTGCGAGAATTGTAGGTTTTTCCTATTGATACCTTACTCAAGTGTCATACAGGCCTCTTGTTGCGGTGTAGAGACAAGCATACTTGTGCAAGCAACAAATCATGCAGTGACAGGATGGTAGGATATCATAGGACTACGAAGATTTAGACAGTGCAAAATGAGCAAACAATGCAAGACAGCGAGACAATACCATGTCGCCTGCGCACTGCAGCTTGAGGATGGACATTCAAAAAAGGCCCAAAACAATCAGCCCTGGCATTCGGGCTATTCCGCGGAGTTTCTCGCCAGTTGTCGCCCGCCGGGGACAGGCGGATTTGAAAGCCGACTTCGTTGGAGAGGGGTATAACTGCCTCGTGCGCAACATTATGAGAGTCCCATTATTTCCGAGGCATAGTTCATCACTCTCCCCATCACGATGATCTGGCACACAGTCCAACAAGTTGTCCGATATCCCCGAAAGTGGGAAACCGGAGTGGATATCAGATTCCGATACCGCTGATTAATGCGGGCCCGCGCGGATGATCAGCCGCGCCAAAAGACACCCAATCGCCGCCACTCCAACCATGTTATTTGAATACCTTCAACACCTCTTCACCTCAGCTTAGATCGCGTTGCTTTATTTTCCTTATCTTTTCCGCATGCGGGTGTTATCTCCTGGAGTTTCCGCCCTGAACTCACCTCTTCCGCAACATGTACACCCTGCCGGTCTTGATTGCGGCCTTATTTCTACATGTCAAGTTCCCCTTACTTCCGGGTCTGAGAGACACCCTCTATGGCATCATCGTCCTCAGCGCCTGCTGCGCCATTTTCTACCCGCCCGATACCAGGGACTTTATAAGATATACCAATGCATTTCTCTCTACCTCCTTTGTCATCCGCGCTGTGGAACTCCTCCTGGTCCATGATCTGAGTCACTTGAAGCGCCTGCAAAGGGTGTCTTACCTATCCTCTTCACCCGTATATACATGGGAACCCATATCTCCCACGCTAGGGTGGAAGCGTTTTGTTCAGATCTGCGATCTAATCATCAACCCGCGCGCTGTGGGTTGGAGCTACGGCTCTCCCAAGTACCAGCCTCCCGTCCGGAAGCTCGAAGCTGCCCCGGACGGCGCAAATGGGTGCGTTCCTAAACGCGAGGACATCGTCCTGGTAGCAGATGACGACCGCTTCTCGTTCTTGAGAGGCAAGATCGTTCGGGCTCTTGTAGCCTACTTTATCATCGACTCGTATCAGTCAGCCATTGGACGGAACTACTCCAGCGTCAGCAACTTCGTAGAGACATTTCTGACCAATGTGCTGGACATTCAAGCATCCCCGGCTACGACTGAGGGCGTAATTCGGTTGTTCATCCTCCCACCAGTACACTGGATGGCCTCCTACGCCTTCGTAGACGGAATCCACGCCGCCACCGGCGTAATCTCCGTCGGTGTGCTTCGGATCATCTCTCCACAGCTCGCAGCGGAACCATGGATGTATCCCCCTGTCTTCGGGGCGATCCGATACATGTTCACCTTTAGCTTACGAGGCAAGTCACCTACCCGTTTTACATTGCCCAAAGGACAGCAGAATAACAAAGTAACAATCCAGACATCTGGGGCAAAATGTGGCACGACCTCTGCCGTCGCCCATTCCTGGCCCTCTCCCTCTCCCTCATCCCGGACTCATGGCCCCTAGGCCTCAAACGCTTCCTCGTCGTTTGCCTGTCCTTCATGGTATCAGGCGTCGTTCACGCAGCAGGCACCTACGCCGTCTCGAAGGACTGGTTCGCCGCGTCCATGATGATGTTCTTCTTCTGCGTTCTGCCAGCATGTGTGGTCGTGCAGCAGATAATTTCCGATCAGATTCTGCCGCGTGTCCTTCCCGCGAAGAGTAACATCTCTCGAGTCGTTATTTGGCTCGTGGATGCGGCGTTCGTGGCCGCATGGGGCTATTATACTAGTCCGTGGTTCTTGAATTATAGTAGACTGCCGGAGGCGATTGAATCCATTCCGATGCCGGTTAGTTTCTGGGGGGTGGTGCTTTGGGTTTAGGCTTGGTTCTGTATTGGGGGTGGTTGTTATATAGTATAGACTGTTTCTTCATTACAGGTGGGGAGGGCGTGATGTTATGTGGGGTTGGTGAACGTTTCTTGGTTTGTTCTTTTACTTGTTTTGGCATAGCGATATGATACCATCTTATACAATTGCTTCTCTAGGTTATAAAGTTTGGATTGGATCCTGTTAGGGTTTTGGTTGTTAGCTAGAAGTTGTATGCCATAGTGTATGTTCAGCTGGGAGTAGTGATCCAACATTCATGGGTATTATATAGTGATATATGCGGATTGGCATTCATAATCAATAACTGCCAGACTACAGATCCTTAAGGTAATATCAAATGTTATACAAAATTCAGTACTTTTGTATCATTACTGCTACAATTATGTTGTTACAGGATATCCTCTCTCTCAGCAATGATACAAGCGAAGCATCCTGGAAGCCAAACTTACATGAACAGAGTGTCATCAAACTCTTGAGAAATCGTATATAAAGCTAGATGAATGAATTTGACAACGAATCACCGAAATAAGATGGTTGTTCTAGTATTCCCTCTCAAACACGCACATACTTGTACTCCTTCCGAAAATGGGGATAATGCGAACCCGTCCTAAGCTCTTTCTGTAAAATGAGGTACATCTTCCAGGCCGAACAGCTGAAAATTTCGACTGAAAAGTCCGCCGTTTCGATGAGGTCGTCCAAGCGTCGACACGCCTTCATCATTTCCACTCTGCCCTCCTCCGTTTCCCATAACTCAGGAAAAGGTTTGATCCCGAGGATCCAACTGCCTTCCCTTGGGTGAATGTCCCCATTTTGGTATAGTTTGAGGGATTTCAAAGCCAATTGGCCGATCTTGTTCTTTGATATCAGGCTGGTGAGAAACTCATATACAGGTTGAGCACAAACCACAAGTCTCAGGTGTTCTAGAGAGCCTGGAAGGTCTGCGGCATCTTTCAGCCCAGTTTGCGCCAGGCCAAGATGTGTGAGGCTTGTGAAGGCTGTAAATGAGCCATATTCACTAAAGTCACGGGGCCTCACAGCGTCCGAATCGGCGTCAATTTCCTGGAGGCTGTTTTGATGAGGCTTCAGGATTGATACTAGATCGGATTTTTTGGGATGAGAAGCATCTTCAGTTTCCCAGGCCGAATAATAGCAGAATACCTTGAGGCTCCTGCATGCATGAACCATTTGGCGCAATGTTGTTTGATGAAACTTAACTCCTACCAATTTCAGTGTCGTAATACTAAGAGACTTGGGTAGAAGAAGTTCAAGAGGTGGACAGCCAGGGCCATCCTCATCAGCGTCATACAATGTGAGCTCGTTCAAGTTGGGCAGATGCATGAGATGAAACAAACCTCTCATCGATTTGTGAAGCATTTCATCACATTCAATATCAAGTTCCTTCAAGTTGGCAAGATATCCATGGCTGCGCACGCTCTGGGAATCTCGCTCCCAGAGCGGCTCCAACCCTTCCAATCCTTCCAGGCCTTCTTCAGTGATTTTGAGACGTAATGTTTCCAATTTAGGCGTCAGCGTTATAAGAAGCATGAGCAATGAGTTCGAATGTACTTCATCGGGAGCTGTCAAATATTGTTGCTTCCAGCTCGCTGGAAGTTGGTTAGCTGCTCTTGCAAACATCACAAATAAGTCCTTCAGGAGTTTTTTCTCCCAGTCTTGCGGTAAATAAGACCTCTGGTTGAACGCCTCCACGGTCAAACTGCGTACACAGGCTCCCAAGTCAGGCCGTTCAATAACAGTTCGTATGAAGCAGATAAGAGAACCAATGCGGTGTTCAAACACAGGTAACCAATATCTGTCATCGATATAACCCCATCTCGGATATTGGCGGAAGATTTTGGGCTGGACGAGGGCACATACAGTCTTTGAAGTTTGGCAAAGCTTTAACAAGGTGTTATAGTCGCCGGATGCCTGCAACTTAGATATTATGAGCACCAAGATCTCCTGCGGTAGGTTTAAAAGACTCATTGTGGCTATCAGAGCGATCAAATGTGAAGGGGAATGCTTTCGCTAGATGCTGTTGTATGGGAAGGATCGATGTCGAGATAGAGGTGTAAAAGCGAATTGAAGATTAATGCACAAGCTAGCTGTTAACAGTAGTGATTAGAAGGTCACCTGGACACTTTTCATAATCCAGCATCTACCATAGGTTCAGGGACTTGTCAGGTGAAATCCGAAAACTCCCATGCTGGATGCCGGTCCAAATGATAGCCAAGGCTGGGAAAGTGGAATACAATGAATGGGAAAAACCATTCAAGAGACAGGGACTCAAAAGGGGAACTCCATGGTATTGGGTGGTCCGAAGTGATACAAAGAGGTCGGTAGTTGCCTTTCCCAACTGTCTCCAAAAATATATCATATATGTATATATATATATATATATATGTATGTTTTTGCAATATACGTTAGCACGAATTTTGGAGTGATGAAGCTGTCAGGGGGATGGTAACTTTTTCGGTTGTTGACTCAGCATTATATGAGATTAACTGACCATCTTAGATCAAGGCACAGGCATTTATATACACAAAAATTTGAAGATGAAGTTGAAGTTTATACTGGAGTTCCACAAATCAACCAAGGATGGCTCAGCCGCGATCATCTGATTGGGTTTATGGATTGGCAACAGCCGAGACCACAACTTGCCGTGGACTACGTCGTACGGTTCCACTTTTGTTACTCTCAGAGCTCCTCCTGTGTACCATCAAGGCCAACAGAGAATTGAATCGGCCTAGGTCGCACAACTGTCGCACAATTGTCGCCCATAGCGCTTCCAAGCTCAGATGCGGGCGACGAAGTCCGAACACTTCGACTCTTTTTGTTATTAATCTTCCGAGCCAATACTTTCCCTACTACTTCGCGGTCGGCGTCCAGCTCCTCCACCGCAGAAAACCCTGTTATCCTGTCCCTCACAGAAATGTCAGATAGTCAGCAAAACCCAATGGCTTAACCCCGAATTATACAAATAAAGAACGATGTTCTACAACGCCCTCATCCGAACCCACCACATCACCTCCCGCAAAAAGGTGTCTGCGCTGAAACGCGCAGCCGATATACACAATTGCTTCGTGCTTCTGCGCTCCGGTGGTTGTCCAGGGATAATGTATGTCGAGGCGAAAGACCAATCCGCTGTTGAGTCTTGGGTGACTGTCGTTCGAAAACTTCGGTACAAGGATTTTCAACTAGCCACGCGACCAGGACCCCTCCACGACGAGAATCAGACAGACCTTCATGATCAGAAGCAGTCATCCCACCAGACAAGAATGAGGGATATAAGGGCCGGTGTGTCAGAGGTAGAAACTGTCAAGGAGTTTGGGAGTTTAATGGAACAACGGGGTGTCTGGAAATGGTGGAGAAAAGGGATGGGATACGTTGGTTGATTTTGCGATCGCTGCAAGTGCATACGCAACTCATGGACTGGGCTCTCCTGATGATGGCTACCTATCCCCTTGGATATCATTCAACCCGGCACTCTGCAGGATCTGAGGCCGGGACTCACGCGTCTGAAACCAGCATACTAGTCACCACAATTGGAAGCCTTAACACAAGCAGCTGTTTCCCTCGCGTTCCAGGTCATCCAAATATCGGCAGTTTACAGTCGCGGAAATGTGTGCAATCTAATGTCGATACTACGTCATCTCATCAAAGCTATATACACGAACTCGATGTCGACGTATGCAGGCCTAGCTCACCCATGCAATGTCGAATTGTTATGCTTAGTCGCCCAGTTACGGTGACCGGGCAATCTATTAACGGGGCCATGTTGACCGATGTTGTCTTTCGGTGCAGGAACATCCAATGGCTGCGGCATCGGGGCCAAGTCTCTTGTTTGGTTCCTCGTTATCGAGCAGTCTGGGTCGGTCAATCCTTGTGGACCGGTACAGGTGTCTATAGCTTGCTGCAAGGCGACCTGGTCTGTCCAACCGTACATGAAATCTCCGTGCAAGCCGTATCCGGTTTTATCACCTGTCGCATATATCCAGTTCTTGTAATCTGGATGGGGTGCTGTGTTGAAAAAGAATTCCAGAAAGATGGAATATATCGCAACGGGATGAGACTTGGGACAAACACCCTTGTTATAGTCTCCAGTATCGGGATACGCCATCTACAAGTACTGTCAGAAAACCCCCAAGTGCTCGCAGACAACGACACCTACATGACTCTTATGATCTGAGCTGTCCAGGTTCTCTCCATCCCAGCAGGAGGGCATAAAAACCTGCGACCTCAACATTTCACAAGGCTGCTGAGGCAAGCCTTTTGTCTCATTCGAGCTTCCATCTTTGCCAATGCACATATGACTGATGGCACGCTGAGACCAATTCGAATCATTATAATTCCTGTTCCCATCTGATATCAGCATTGTCAGACATCTGGATAGAGAATAGGCGAACAAACCGAAGACTCGGATCCCCAGCAAGCATGCGCAGACCTTTCGGCGGTGCTAATGGAACCAGCTTCTCATCACAATCCGTAGCACCGGCCGTATAATTACACGCTCGATCAAAGTAATAAATACTCTATCTAACTCATTAGCCAATTCCTCTCGACCCTCAACCGAGCTTCCAGGACTCTCAACGAAGTCCAAAGCAATACCTACACTGGACTGATACTCCACGAGCTCAAATGACCCATTCCTCATGCGATGATAAAGCTGCGGAACCCAGTAATTACTCCTATCAATATCCACTTCGCACGTCGTCCCCTTTGCATTCTGCGCTGTGCTCTCATTCATTGTTCGCTGGAATGCTGTCCCCCCAGTAACAACATGTGTATGCGTAGATGGCTTCCCCGGCGCGACTATCGGGTCGGACAGTTGAGTCGTCAACGGATCGCAGCTGAAAGTAAATTCGTCTGTCGTGCGCTGCTTCGCAAGGACATTGCTACCGCTGCTGAGCAGAAGTAGCGCTGCGATGTAGCGGTTCCGCATATTGCTGTTCGTTCTTATCCGTATTCAAACAGACAGAGACACCATTTGCTTCATTCACCTAGCAAACAGCGTAGCAAGCAGCATAGAAATTGCAGTCGCAATCGGCGAAACCAGTATCTCAGGACACAAGAGTAAAAGCAATTGAAAAGATACAAGACAAACGAAATTCATACAAAGATAAAAGAAACTAAACCTAACCGAACTCAATATATTCCGTCCCGTCATTCCTCACGTCCATTTAACCTCCACCTTCAGCGCCTCCTGGGTGCTTGTTTTCCGCCCCGGGCATCTCTGTAGATTGAACATTCCAAGCGCCACCGCAAATATCTCAGCCTCTGAGAATATCTCCGGGGAATGCTATGTTATGTTGTTGATTCATGTAGGACACGTGTCCCCTGTGTATTGTATGTATCGTGTAGAGCAGTGATGATGATGGTTTGGTGTAGATGCTTTGCAGGGGCTGTGTTTATTCCTTTTTTTTCCTTGTGCTCAGGAAGGGGTTGCTAGTAGGATGGATGATGGATTGACCGTTTTGGTGGAGGGTCTGTGATGTGTTCAATTACTATCCATAGACGCTGTAGATAATTGTTGATACAATTCAAGTCGGTAGTTCACAGGTTGCATGGGCTTGGTGGGTAATGTGACCGAGGCATTGACGTGAAATATGTAGGACTCGGTTGTTCTGCTACTGGTGTGCAATTTTGGATGGAGAGGAGTTGTAGTAGTCGTAGTCTTATTTATACATATAGTTTGCAGTTCTATCGAGCACTAGTGTTACATATACATCATTACGTCAATACTATTCGACTGCATTTCCTTCTTTGTTTAAAATGAAAGCCACTACTACAACGAACTGCAAAGGAAACTACCTCGACTGAAAAGACGTCGTTGCGCAGAGTCAACCGAGAGGAGCCACTTAAGAGTACCTTAATTATCTAGAAATTCTCTACCATGACTGCATGCTTTTGTGCAATGTGCTTGGAAGTCCGCTTAGATTATATTATTCAAGCGCAACGCTATCTCTTAGTTAAAACGTGCTCTTGCATATGAAACCCCCTCTGCTGAATTCTGATCGCATAATGCATATCCAGACGTAATCTCGCTTGTCAAACACCAAAGACACCCGGCCTTAAGCGCCGCTGACAACATCAAGCTCCCCATTTGACCGTTCGGTTCTGGGCCGCGGTTTATGGCGGCCTAGCCATGCATGCATATACTACCGAAGTAACATTTGCATAAGCAGCTAGGATCAGACCTGATGTCACGCCATTAGCATCCGTCGGACCGGGCACAGAAGTGGATCATTGGCGACCAGGGGCTATTCCAGTGACCAGTGAGATCCCACATCCAGATGCAGTAATATCAGCCCATTGGACTCCAGTAATGCGCTGGATGAGCCGGCTCTTATATCTTGGCTTAGTCGTAGCCTCGCATTGCAGAACCCACCTCTTGCCTCGCATAATGGTGCCCATCTCAGTTTCTCTACAACGTAGAATACCCCAGACATATCCCTGGTTTGGATTCCTTCAGACCCAGCTGCTGCTGCGTCGAGGACACCCTAAAAAAGGCCCTGAACCGGCTCAGGGTCATAATTGCACGCAGCCACAAAATGGAGCACCAATACCTCTGTATGCGGTGTAATGCAGCTATGCTCTCTTACACACGAATCTGTTACCGAACATGATCAAGCCTGGCTTGGATCGTCTTGTCATCGAAGTGACCTTCTTCGCCAACGTAGTTGTGAAGGGCTTCTGAAAACATCAAGCGACGGGGTGCCTTTCGTCCCGTCATGAGCTCAAACTGCGGTATCGCTTGCTCGACCACATTGTCAAGTCCATCAACTAATACCCAAGGGCGCCCGGTTTCAGTCCGAATACGACGCATCTGGCGCAGCAATGGAGTGTCCAGTGGCTTGTAAGCGAACTAGCATGAAAACGTTAGTCAGGCCCACCTGTGCACATCATTAAAGAACTTACCTCAAGGACTACGCCGCCAGTGGGGCTTCCCAGCCATTGCATAGGCATTTCAAAGTTGGCTGGCGGTTCATCGCGGTCGCGGTCCGCAGGCACACAAGATGCGATCATGCAAGGCGGACAGGCATCCTCAGGCCATTCATCCTTCAATGACTTGAGCACATACACAACTTCCGCCGAGTCCACTTGTGAGGCTGCCCATGAGTTGAAATGGCGAGCAACACTTTCCGCTCGTGACAAAGTTCTATTGTAGATGAAGATCTTACGGCATCCGAGCCGCAGCATAGCATAGACAGCGGCGCGGGCCATACCGCCCGCTCCTATCACCAGCCCAGTAGTCTTCGATGGGCTGATGGCATTGCGTGGAGAGAGGTTGCGGTTGATGCAGTTCATAATGCCAACCCAGTCCGTATTCTCACCGTACCACCCTAGCACAGGTCCAGCCTGGTTACGCCGACTCGCCTGCTCTTGTAGAGGATACATGGACCCATCAGGGCCGGCGCGCAGGGGTACGATGGTGTTTATCGCACCAATTGCCTCCACATGGCGGCTTTTCGCCGCGAGCTTATGTGATAGTTGTACTCTCCAAGGCTGAACCACACTTGACCCTCCAAAATGCGAATCCCTGCCCAACCGATCCATGATTGCAAGCGAGGGCGAGTCCGGTATGGTATAAGTATGGCTCATGCCACAGTGACGGAAAGCAGCGTTGTGCATTGCAGGGGACAGACTGTATGCGACATTACCTCCGAGGATGAAGAACTGGAGCGGGTCCAGGACGTAACTTTGGAACAAGGCCTGAACTGCGTCACGAGAAGTGATCTGCGGGTCTCGCTCGTTGTCGGAAGACCTTTCGATTGCTGGGTGAGTTACAGATGTGAGGATAGAATTGAACACTTGCGAGGTGCGGCCAAGACGGCCAATGTTGTATGCGATAACCGGTGGATGTTCGCCGGGCAAGGCATGAACCTTGTTTGTAAATTTAGCAACCGCTGCGTTATCCTCACGCGACGTAGCCACTCGAAGAAAGCGAACGAGCTGACACCCCAGCTTCTCGGCTTCAGAATAGAGGGAAAGGCATTCTTCGCTCTCCCATGTCTCTGGCGCAGAAGGTTCGAATATGCGTTGACCAATAATCTTTGTGTTGCCTCTGGTACGGATTGCCTCCTCCACTCGGGACCGTTCCTGGCTCAAGTCTACGGCCAGATATTCAACCGCCAGCCGTAGAGCATGTTCCACAATAGTGAAGTATAAAGTGTTCACCTTTGTAGCAGACAAATCACCTCTAGCAATTCCGGTGGAGGATTTATCTATTGAGATTATGATGGGCGTACGAGCATTCCTCCGGAGTAGAGCGACCTGCTTGCTGAGAGTTGCTGTCAATCCCGTGCTCCAGCGGTCAACACACAGCTCAATGGCATCACCTCCTGACTCAAGCTCCTGCAGTTTGACATTGCCTTCTGCCAGGTCGGAAGATCGTACAAAAATGGCATGGGTGAAGGACCGGAGTTCCGGGGGGGTCTCAAGCAGGACAAAAGGCGAGTCATAACTGGTGTGTCCTACATCGGTGCCAGTCACGAAACGCACGAAGCGCGTGAAGTCCTCTTTCGCTTCTTTCAACTTGAAGGAATAATCAACGCATCGTCGGTCCGGCGATCCCTCATCCGTCTGGGAAGCGATACTGGAATGATCTTCAACATTGTAGAACTCGAAATTCGAGCATGTTCTGTGTAGGGGATCGCCCTCGGCAAGGAGTTTGACCGACTGCTCCTCCAGGCCTAATAGGCTTTGAATGCGATCCATGTCGCGAACTATGTATACAATGGGATTGGTAGCAGAATAGTGACGAAGGTGCTCTTGAACCGGACGGGTAAGGCTGCCGAGACCGCATTCAATCACACAACGTGAGCGGTGGTTGTCAAGCATTGACTTGAGGACTTCGACATCGCGTTGCTGGAATTCCTGACTTCCATAGCGCTTGAGGTACTCATGCCTGGTATGTCCGGTCACTTCCTTAAAATAGTGGTCTTCCGTGATGAACCGCCGTTTCAACGCAGTGGCAGCGACAAATCCCAGAGACCGCTTTCCGCATCCCCGGATGCCCACAAGCACCAGAGAGGCATCAGGATCGAATCTCCGGCGCTTATCTACCGGGGATATCTTGTGCATTGTGGACGTTTACGTGGATCAGTGGGACGGAGGTCTTGTGTGGTCGGTGCGCGGGAAGCAAGACTGTCCGCTGCAGAAAGTCTAAGTTGCTAAGAGCAACGATTAATCAAGGTGATATCAGCAGTGTATCCGAAGCAACCCAATGAGGACCAATCATCTGCACTCCGTCATATTCGAAGTGGCCATGCTTCAATTGAGGGAGGATAGCGTTGTCGAGGGCCGCTTTTTAATCTTTTTTTTTTCCTGTGACTGAAGCGGAGAAGCTAGTATACCGGGGAAGATGGCGGGGGTGAGGAAATGGTGACTAGCTTTTGCTAGCTATCGGGCGGAGGCGGAGTGCAGTAAGTGCGGCAGGGACAAAGGCGGTCAATTGGCGCAGCACCTGGCATGCCTGCGAGGGCAGCAATGGGACGGAAACGTGTTGAAGCAGGCTGGGCAAGCAGGCGTGATTGGTTTGCTGGGGCAAAGGCAACCGGGGGGCGCTGGAGAAAGTGTGATTATAACAGAACCAAAGGATGACAGTTGGGGGACCATGGCAAGAATGCTCGGTTGCGGCCATCAGCCACCGGAGTCCCAAAGGGTTCGCGGGTTCAGCATCTCCAGCCGCATTGCCGGACCATCGCATCTGCCACGAGTGACCGCCTGCCCTCCAGGCTGTTGGCGGATAAGTCAATACCCGGATAGACGATCTCCATCCGCGGGACTCTCCGTAATCCGTATACGACATAGATTGGCCTGAGTGTCACCCCCGATCCATCGGTAGCCACCTACTCAATTAGTCTCTTCAACCGCATGCTAGTATTTATCATTAATCAATAAGCATGCGTCCCTGATAAGTAAACCGACCCCATTCTCCAGGCAGAAACAAAACGCCTGTTTAGCGGGCGTGTGATGGGCTAATAGGTGGGTAGCCAGCAGCTGCGAAAACGATGGTAATCCAATCAATAGAAAATATGGTTCTGTCAAATCCGGGTCAATCTGTGCCTACATCACTCTAAAGTCTAGCACGTCGGCCCATTAGCCCAGTAGCATTGAATCGAATGTATATGCTTAAACTTGAATGGAGTATAGTGAGTGGTACTACTGTATCACTTCGCGTCACCGGGGTAAGGACCCTGCACGATTATTCGGACCCGATGGGTATACCGACGCCCGGAGGCCTGGGACTGATGAACCCTTGAAGATGTATATCTCCTCCATCTGCATGACTACCGAGTCGGGATGCCGGATCTTTTGCCGGATCCGCGAATGATCTGAAGGTCATTATTCAGTAGCCGAGTCAAGAGCTTGACACGGACAGTGAGCATGCTGAAGAGAAGGACGTACCAGGAAGGGTGTCGGACCCCTGGAACCGGCGAATCAGAAGCCAAAATGGGTCGGTTAGTTCGGAGTGCCACAATAGACAGTAAACTAGTCGTGGTTTGGATTCTTCTTGGGCTCGACGCCTTTGTGGGGTGGACTTTACGGTTGGTCCGCCGACAGCGGAACGGCCGGTTTTCGGCGGTTCTATCTGCTCAGTGATTGGGCTAGTGGGTTTCGAGTTTGATAATTAGGAAGACGGTTGGGCGCCCTTTTCGTCTATCCATTAGGTGATAGTAGATAGCCACAGACAATGGAGGTTTGAAGTCAGCATTGAGGACCCATGATTCGTAACTAGTCAGGACATAATGATGGCCACAGATGGGGGAACTAAGAAAGCAGGAACATTATCGGTTCGAAAGCTTAGATGTACGCTATCCTTGTCCTCTAGACTTATTGTGATTAGTTCCCTCGGACGCGAAGGATAATAATAGGAACTGGTAGGTGGTTGGTTACGCGGATTATTGATGCGAAGAATTCTTGGCTGATTGACACGGTTCAAGAGAATGCTATTTTTGTGAGTCGCTAGGAACAGAGGAGGCTGAGCCTGAGGAAGTTATTATTATCAGACAACACTAAATATTGGGGGGGTGTGATGGAGTATGGATTATGGAGAGAGGGAGCGAGCACGAATCCCACCGAGCCAAGACGGCGAAGGACGGCGGAAGTCTCGGTTTCTCCTGCAGCCAAAAGGTGCAGGGACTGTGTAGGGGGAAGCAGTTGGGAGGAAAGTCTCCCACACCGCGTCGTGGAGAAGCCGTGGGGATCCGGTGTGGGGTGCTAGCCTCAGGCACAACATGGCCCTCCGTTTTGAGGAGAATCTCACCACACGAAAAGTGGGAATTTTTGGGTAAAAAAAACCTTTTTTGGCACTATCATCTAGGTTATCTCGATTTTCTTACTGTTTTAAGAATAGAAAAAGAATTTTTATTTTCTTCTTACGTGATTTAATACCATTTATTATTATTACTTTTTTTCCTTAGCATTGAATTCTGGAAAATCGTTGCAGCTGCCAATCTCAGTCCCGACGGAACCCAAAACTCACCCGGAAAAGGGCGACTAAACCCAACCATCATCCACTAAGTAACTCACTAAAGACAAAGTAAACTAGTAGTCAAACTTTTTTGAATTGTTTTATTTTATTTATTATTCTATTTTATTTTTCCAATATTTTTGCTCATCCCGAAGTTTTTGCCCCGATCTTTCCCTTCCCCTCCTTCTCCCGTCCCTTGTACTTTCCCCCGTTGCGGTCCCTTCAACTTGCAGCTCGTAGTGTAATTTTTTTTTTACTTTTATACACTTTCCCGGATCCCTTTCTAAACTTGGTTGCCTCAGGATGGGTCTGGGCCGATGCACCAACTCCATATTGGATTGGATGGACCAAGGAGATTCAACAGCGAGACCCTGAGGTGGCTGTGGTAGCTATCATCCATCTTTAGACTCATTGGATTCTTGCGTAATACTACTTGCCATCGCTTTTCTTGACAAGTTCTTTTCCGATTGCGTCTGGGGGACCCGAGGGTCTTGTTTTATAACAGACGGGCATGCACTGCGGGATAACCTTTTCGGCTTGCTCCAATCCCTCCGCCGCGGTCCCTTTCTCGGCTTGCCTGGCGACTACTACTTACTACTACTTACCTACGACTATTACCTTAACCTTCCCAGGTTACTTGAACTTTACACTTCCTATTCCTATTACTCCCTACTGAACTGAACCGAAAACTGCCTTTTCCGTCACGCCTTCTTAACCTTCCCCCTTCTGGTCGGTGTCATTTCTGGGAGGCCCGACCACCTTTCGCTCGCTACCTTCTTCTCTTCTTTCCTCTCTTTTTCCTGCTTTCATGACATGCCATATCTTTTTTAATTAACCCTCTCCCATGGACGAGGGTTCCGATTCTAAAGCCCCTCGACGGAAGAGGGTGTCGAGAGCCTGTGATCGCTGTCGAAGTAAAAAGGTCAGTTAGAATCAATCAATCAATCAATCAATTAATTAATACCTTTTCTTTTGGCTTCTCTGCTTCTTTCTCTCCCCACTCTTTTATAGATTTTCCCCTTCCTATTCTCCATCTCCATCTTTCTCTTGCTTTTAGCCCGATCGGTGCAATTCAACCCCGAACTGCAGGTGGAATTTCATTCTGTACTCGGTAATGTTCGGGGCGGCGTTCTTGCGTCACGTCACGTACTTGCCCGTTTTCGGTGCTTGTTATCGCCTCGGAGCTGCAGCTCAGCTGCCCACTGCCGTTTCAATTGGCCATCTACTCTCCTTCTTTCCTACTTCCTCAACTCAACATCCTGGATCTGCTTGCCCCTTCAGTTTCTATCTACTTCTCCACCATGTCTTTAATTCCCACCCTCCATGCTGACAATGACCTCCAACTTTTAGGACAAGTGCGATGGACTACGTCCCGCTTGTTCGGCCTGCCAGGCTTCAGGCCAGACCTGCTCATATGATCCCCATGCAAAGAAGCGCGGGTTACCAGAGGGCTATGTTCGTGGCCTGGAGAAGCTCTGGGCCTTGTCCATCTGCAATATCGATGGCTTCGAAGACACAATGCTAACTCTACTGGGGACCACCGCCGAATCAGCTGGTCGGAGACAGAAGCTCATGTCCTTATGGACGGATGATGGCGCATCAGAGACACTGCATGAATCTTGGAAAACCAGTCGCCTATATGGGGCACTCGAGAAGATGCTGTCTAACTCTGAGCCAGTCACGGAGAGCTCAGGAAAGCGCTCTCGGGAAGACCATGATGACGGCACCGGAAGTGAATGGGGATTCCGCATCGACCGTAGTTCGACTCCTCTCGCTCATGATGCTCCGCGTGTTGTTGAGCCTTCCACCTCTCCCCATGCTAAAAGGCCCCGGCTGGCCGCTCCCACAGACAGCAGAATCACCACGTATACCGCCAGCGCTACGAATGCCCTGCAATTACCCCCGCAGACCTCGCAGTTGTTAGACGTCTATTTCGCAGTCACTCACTCATGGTTCCCAATCGTCGCAAAACACAACATCTTACGAGCATCGTACCTGTATGCAAGCGCGCCGCTATCTGTCGCAAAAATGGCCCCAGGTTCGGGCGACCACGCCGCATTGTGGGCCTTGCTCAGTTACACCATTTCGCAATCTCGGGTTAACCCGCAGGACGGGGCGTTGGAAGCGCTTTCGAAAACCAAGGAGTATTACTCGGTAGCTCGAAGCTTGATTCCTTCTGAAACGGAGCGGTTCGAGCTTGGACATGTGCAGGCACTGTTGCTGCTGACGTTGGTTAACATCGGCCTGGAGGACTGGACTGCTGCCTGGCTGTTGAGTGGCCAGGCTGTTCGCATGGCCATTTCGATGGACCTTGGAGCCTTCATGGACGTTCGACGATCGGACGAGTTGAGGCAAGGAAAGGCGGTTTTCCTTGGGTGTTTTGTGATTGACTCGTTGCTTTCGTTCCGTTTGTCGAGGAGACCGTGCATGCATCCTCGTGATCTCACCATGGTCGGGCTGTTGGAAGAAGATGGCTTGGAAGAGTGGAACTCATGGTCGGATGTCTTGCCACCTACGGGGGCTGGACAAGGGAAGAGCCCTCCTCGACGGGGTCCGCTGCTCGCTCTAAGCTGCTTCAATCGACTAGTCGAGTTAGCCGGTGTACTGAATAAGATTGCTCGCGACTCCACGGCCGGACCAAACGCACCCTTATTCGCACAACAACTAGTCATGGAGCTTAAGCAATGGGATGATCGTCTTCCTCTTGGATGTCGCTTGATTGGCCCAGAAAGTATCTATCCGGAACGACACTCGGCCTTGCTCCCGCACCAGAGCTACCTTGGCCTGACATATGTGGCTACGCTTCTGTGGCTTTATCTGCGCATTGCGCCTCAGGAGCTTGGGCTGCATCGCTCTCAACGGCCGGCTATCGAAGGAGCCAAGAAACTCCTTTATAGAGCTCTTCCAATGGTGTCCCAGCACCTTGATAACTTTCAGGTTTGCGGTTTGCCGCCGATATTCGAGCTTTCTTTGCGCACTATCGCCGAACAAGCGTTCACTCTGCGCAATAAAATCGAATCCGACATGTTCCCTTTTGGACGGTGGACTGAAGCGCTCCTTCAGCGAACCACGGAGCTTAGTTCAACTTGGCCAGTGTATCGCTCATTGTCTGCTTCCATCGATCACTGGTACCGTTCTAAAGATCTCCCCGGAAACCCTGCTCTATCCTATCAGCCACCAGAGGCAGGATCAGCACCCGGAATGGCTAGCGGTATGACCAGTACTGCACTACCCACTGGGACTATGGCAACATCGGCGGCAGGGTATCCGAACATAATGGGCGAGCCTACGATGAACCCTCACCTGAGAAGGACTGCACCTGGAATGGGGGATTCCGATTATACATCTGCCATTATGGGCATCACTATCCCTGTGGACGGACAGTACATGACGCCAAAAGATCCCACGGTGGAAAATCCTGATCTATCCATGATGGACGTGTCCTTCCAACAAACCTTGGACGGGCGAACGGCACACATGGACAAGTCCGAGCCTGCTGCTGCTCTGAATGCAGCATTACCGCGGGGCCCGCGCCCCCATCCGTCTACACCCGACTCTGGGGTGTCAAGTTCGATGATGTCGGTCACCGGCCCGGGCGTTATACACGAACGTTCTGTACCTTCCGGAGATAGGAGCTCGGATACGACAGAGCGTATCGGCTCAACCGGCGACATTGACGCCATCTTCAAGGATCTTGCATATCTCGACACCACAGAGTGGGCTAACAATCGCGAGGCCGCGCTGAAGGATTTCGGATTTATTGACGAGAGTACATTCCAGGCTTTCTGCCATGACCCAGACCGACTCGCTGGGACTCAGCCGTTGGTACATCCCCCGTCGATTGCCGACATCTGGCCGCCACCGGGCTTTTTCCCGGAGACGTTTCGTGACACTACGGAAGATGTGATGGAGGGTTGAGTGGCCGTTTTTTCATTTCTTTACATCTTGCTTTTGACCAAGCAGAGGTCGAAGGGACCTTCATAGGGACTTATCCCTATTTCTGATATATATGGAAAACCTTCACGAATCTCTGTTTTCCGCTATGTATGATGGTGGTGCTATCAACGCACGCATCACCCTTTTTTTGCCATCTCTCTTGTTCCTTGTTGATGATACCCAATGTAAGTAACACATTACAAAGAAGACCGAAGTCGACTAGCGGATTTCAATCATGATGCTGATAGTCCTCGTTACAGTCCAGAAAACCTCGAATGCAACAGGGAGTTAGGATTTTAGGTATCTAGGAGTTGGTTATTGCTATTGGTGCATGCATATACATCGTCGCAAACCCTGATATTGAGGGTCTGTGGCTCGTGAGCCCACGTTTACAATAAAATGGTCTCATTCAACCATCGTTCAACATTCTCCACCACCCCTGAATACACTCGACCTCCGAGTTGAGCCAGCCAGCCAGCCCACTTCTAGCCGTCCTGACGTAACATTGAGCACGACGTGATCCGGTTTCAGACCCGCTTTGTCTAAACTAAAAAGCACGGTCTTCCTTGCATCCGTGCCTAGTAGATATCTAGTAGCTACTCCGTAGTAGAAAAGTAGCAAAGTACCTTGTTGGTATGCACTAATCCCCACCAACGATTAGGCACCGATGCTTATTCCCTTATAGCACCTCCTGCTATTAATCAATCCACCGCGAGCTAACCAACCACATGTACCATTTTACAAAGTACATACATTAGTAGTTGACTAATTACCTCTTTCCATGATTCAATCCCTACTCTCATTCCATCTTCTAGTCCGAATTCGCAGGTTTATGCCGCATTTCTCTCCTATCCTATCAGTCCCCATCTTCCAAGCAAATTACACAGTAAACCTGTCTGCCTTCTTTTACCTCTCTTCCGATTGGTACTTGGTAATTGGTGTTGTTCATTTCCAGAGGAGATTACTTTCAAAAGTGCCTTGCTTTCTATAGGTTCTGGCTTCAAGGTTTTTCCTAGAGACGGAAAAGAGGTACCTGACTAATTCTCACAGAGACCAACTACTTGTAGTAAATTAGTTGAACAGGTGTGATCTCTATTTTTCCATGTTCATGTGCACATTTTATACATTTATTGCTCGAATGTGGTGGTCTGAGAGTTCTGTCTATGGTTGGTGTCTTCGATGGGGTGCAGGTTGGTAAGTAGGCACCAGTCTTGGTTTGGTAGCAAAGGTAGTGAAACTGGTACCTGTGTGCTGCGTGAGCATGAGCTGGTAGGTAGCTATGGTATTAAGGTTGCGGTAGCATACTTGGTGTTTGTTGACGGAACTACTAAATGGAGTTGAGTGAGAAATGTGATAGTCCAATATGTGTGGAAGGATATTCTGGGGTGTAACATGTTGTACACTACTAATGGAATTTCATCTGCTGTATGTTGGATCATCATATGTCTCATTGGGTCATAAGAAGTCAATGCTACCTCGCGTGGTGATATCTGGGGGTAAAAGAAAAATAAGATGCAGGAAATTAAAGCCGTCATGACAGCCAGCCCATCGAAAAACGCCCCCAGGCAGAACCCAAAACCAAACATGAACTACGCCAAAACATGATCCGGAAATTCCGGCTTCCTCCAGGTACATACAGCCCCACGGAAGATGGGAAAAGAAAATAGAGAAACCCCTCCTTTAACCCCTTTTATCGTCGACCAGCAGCCAGCAACATTAATTGGTGAAAGCTCAGAACGCCGCAAACCGTCTTCCTGGTCGTTTATTGTATGAGAAAGATGCATGAGAAATTGATGGCTAGGAAATCAAGTGCATTAAGTCGTAAAGCCCGCTCTGCGACCTTGTGGATGCTCCACGGAGAGGGAATCACCGCCTCCAGCCGACGTTCCATATCACATGTGCAATGTCCTTGGCTGTGTTTACGGTGTCTGCCACACGGTCAAAAATGCTTGCACTCAATGGTTCGTCTTCTTCGTTGGGTGTTATTCCTCCCGGAGACATCGAATGGAAGTAGTAATCGAGCTCCTCGTCATCTTCTGGATTCACAAACCAGGGACGGCTTAGGCTTCCTATGCCATATGAGTTGCGGCTTGGTTCCCAGTCGAATTCCACGTCATTATCTTCTTCGTCAAGAAGGAAATTAGCAGATGGCGTGATGTTCCTGCCAGATCGTGCACTTTTCCGCGTCGACTTCTCGGCTCCGGACGAAGTAGGCGACGTGGAGTTCAGGAAGTAGCTGGACCACCGACCCATTATTGAGGATGCTGGTGATTCCGATGTAGTTTGTCCGTTCCCACGGGCATCCCCTCGGCCATCTGGCAGATCATCCGGATGGTCCGACGCATCCCATCGGTACTTGAGTGTGGTAGAAGGAAGCGGGGCAATGGTTTTGTTTTCACCAGTAACGCTACCACGAGGCGTACCTTTGTCGCTGAGCGACGAGTCAGAATGAATGTGTTTCATCATGACGATACCATCCTCTGATGACTCATCCCCGAAATGAGCAGGCCATCCATCGTCTTCCTCTTTCGCTTCGACAGCAATACATTGCACCACCTCGTTATTGAAGTGAATATGCCGTCGTTCGCTAGGGGTGGCCGACGTTGATGTATTGGTGGCGGTACCCTTAGCAGTACCCCCCACGGGAGTGGTGGACGACTTGCTAAGCATATGTCCAAACTCCGAGGAGGCCCTCTGTAATGGGGGACGGTTACGGTTGATCTCGGCCTCCTGTGCTTTTAAAATGGCTCCCGCATGTTGCAAGAGCGTATGCTGGGACAGAGAACGCTGCAAGATAGTCTCAGAAGCCGTTCTCTTCTTCAATATTGGTTTCCTATCCGGGTACAAGGTCGGTGTCTCCAAACGGCTGGGAGGAGGAGAGCCATTGAATGCTTTCTCCCGCTTATTGCACGTCTTTAAGGGTCCGTACAACCACGTCACATCGCAGTCCTTCAGCCTATTGGGAGTGTTAGCAAAGAGCCAAGGCCTAAGGGACTCTGTTCAAGAACTGACCAGTTGAGGGCTTCTGGCGATACTGTACCCAGGTTGAGTTTCAGCTTGGCCCACGTCCTCCACGAGGCATTCTCTAGCCTTGTCCCATTTTCATATATGTTCCTCCGGGCGACGACGTAACGCCACGACGCCCAAATATCCTCCTGTCTCCATTCATGAGATAGATAATCCACGTGCCTCGATGGCTCATCCTCGATTGTACTATCATCAGCAGCCGGTGCTTGCGTCAGGCGTGGGAAGTCCGCCGAGGAGTCCACAGACACATCACTGAGGGCTTCAGGCTCCTTCTGTGCAAATTGGCTGGAATCGTACGACGGCAGGACCAACTCGTCATCATCATGGCCCTCACTCATAAGAGATAGACTGCTCAGAGTCGCAGGCGTGGGTGGGAGATTCCCCACAGCTGTAATAGTGAAATCCGGGGATGGAGACGCTGACCGCGACGGGGAGGACACCACAGCATCAGAACGATCCTTGCGATGATATGCGGGCAGATTAAATTTGGCTGTGGCGACATTGGGCTCTTCGAGGAAGTAGGTTTGGGTGATTGGACTTCGCAAAGGGTCCGGAGAAAAGCGTGATCGCCCCTCGTTCGAGGCGGGAAGTATGGCCGTCATCCTAGCAGCTCAATCAGGTACATAAGGGCAGTCTGCGAATGGGATGGCCGTTGCAAGGGCTGGAGTTGAAGCAGAAAAGGTGGAACAATTGATTGAGATAGAATGTTTCGTCTCCAATGGAAAGGCGCGAGAGGCGTCGAGGAAAGGCCCGCTATCTAGGAATGGCGACAAAGTGCTGAGATCATGGTACAGTATGGGGTAGGCCAGAGTAGGATTTGATCTTGATTGGCAGCATATATGAAGGGGCAGCTAAGGCGCCTCGGAGATGTTATAGGGCGAGAGAGCTAGTAAGATGTATGTTGAAGGGCCATCAAGGTGTCAGGGAGTGAGTGATATGCGAGAGTTATTAACGGCTCCAAACAAGCCCCTCGGAGGGGGGTGGAGAAGGCCTTTTGCTCGGTCGCACGAAAGGATCGGAAACTTGGATGGGGTCGAAGCTAGATTAAGATGAAAGGTCGGGAATAAACCAGCGTGTGTATGGGAGTCGCAGGGTGAAAGGCAAGAGTCGTAAAGTAACGTTGACGGGAAGCGGCGGGAAACCGGAAATACCTGTCTCTCTCTCTCTCTTCTTTTGCGAGTGCGAGTTTAGTGATAGTGGCGAGTGGAGATGCGATAATGCACGGGGGGGTTCGACCGTTGATTCTTCTTTTTTTTTTTTGGTATTATTATTTTTTATCTTTTTATTTTCGTTTTGATAAAAAGAAAATCTCTTAATTCTTCCCAGGTACTAGACCAGGATCTAAAGAGTCTAGATACCCGATGGTAGGGGGGCGAAGGGGGAAGGAAGCGTTGATGTCGCGCGGATCAAGTGAGGTTTGGTAGATAAACCAACGAGAAGGATCAGAAACGCAGGGTACCGCGTCGATGGCTTGGCGGAAGGAGGATTTGTTGGAGAATTGATTACGATTGACGTACGCGTGGGTTAAGAAAGAAGTACGAGTATATTCCCACCCCCCTTTCCCCTCTCCTTCGTATCAAGCAGTGCACAGTACCTAGGAACGGGTACCTCCCAAGGAGGGCATCAAACAAGGTTGAACCAGCACACAGAAGAATCTGTTCGGTGCTTTTCTCGATCTTGTTTGCCACCAAAGAACCAAATGCTCGCAAAGTGAATCATGACGACGGTACCTCGAATGGAAATCCGGCCGGGTGGGGACGAAGCAGTTGCGCTAAGACATGTCGGTCTAGTCTCCAGCAACTTTTACTCTTTCCCGTCTAGTGCATGTATTCTGGCACATTGCTGATTGGTTGGCACTGGAATGGTGTAACTCTCGTGGTGCATGAGTGTGGGTCACATTAAGCATTTCGCAGCCCGCCATTGGCTCTCATTTAGGTGGGGTTAGACCAGTCTTGACACCCGAACATCGACGATCCAGAGCCAGCCTCATTAAGCAATGTTCTTTCGGACTTACTGAAGGTTTTACCTGTCGTCCATAGTACAGTCTCCCTCGTATTATCTACTATATATCCATACTGAGCTGCCTAAGCTAGCTAAATTACTACCTTGCTATCAGGAATCGAGCTATGTGTCCTAGACAAAGCCTCCGATCTATACCTTAGCCGCATACCAATCATCGACGGACTTTACGTACTGCGACCGGAGTCTAGAAGGACTCCGAGACCCCCAAGACGCGCTAATTATGCACTGTAGTGAGGTCTCTTCCTAACATCCGGTTTGGAGCTGTGCGGGAGGGACGTGCGATAAATTACTTACTAACTGCTACCTCCCCATGCCCCGGGGATGACAGATCAATGGCCTTACCCAGTCACTAAACTAGACTAGACGGGGCATGGCAGCTAGCGTGAACATCATCATAATCTCATTCCCAGGCCAGAAACACGGAGCAGAGTAGTCAGGGATCAGATTGTTTCCTCCCTTAGCGACCCCCCTTCCCGATGCGTCGAGTATCAGACCCACCGGCTTTTCATTCCCGCAGTATCCCTTGGGAGAGAATGATGTGATATTGATAAGGAGAAGCAGAACAAAGAACCCGAGAGTTTGCCAGTCACTCTCCTCCTGCCTGTTTGGATTTCTGGGGAAACCTCCGCACGGTCTGTTGAAGTCCAGATCCCAGATCCTCGGCAAGCCAATGCGCGACCGTTGCTTCGTTCATTCCGGGGCACCCGCTAAACAGGAGAAGATCCATTTTCCCCTTCTCCTCTCCCGATGAATGACCGATCCACCCAGAACTGTATCTACTGTTTATCTACTAATCATAATCTTCACATTAGATGCCAGCCTTTAGCTGTGTCTCCTCTTCAATGATTACAATTATACAATTGTATACTGCTTTAGTCTGCACATTGAGGAGTGCCCTGTGGCTGCCCTCCGGGAGGTAACATGTCCAAGTTCCCAGCCCACAAGTTGCGTAGTCTCGGGATAACACGGGATGCTGGAAGCTTCCGGATAGTCGTGTCATCTTGCCGATTACTACCTTCTTCCATTGTCTTAACGGGATGCACGGATGTTTTGGTGCGGTTGCTTTGCATACGCTTTGAACGAGCACTGCGCACCTACCACACTGACAGCAATGTTTGTTCTCCAAATTATAGTTCAATTTCCAGTTTCAAGTTAGTGCCCTGTACTACCACTGTCCGATCAGTGCCACTATATCTCTAGAGGATAAAGTGGATGCTCTTGCTAACCACCTTGACACGTTAAGCCCAGTCCGTTAGGTCACTCATCTGTCATATGTATGTTTGCTCTCGAAGCATAGTAGGACACAGACTTGACTAGACTAAACTAGGTAGATAGCTAGGCTGCTAGTTAGAGTGAGGGCTGGACAAAACGCTAAGCACGCAGGTCTCTCCCTGTCTGCGGCGGAGCACGTGGATCCGAGCGTCTGGCATAAACGCTCACCGGAGCTATTGCTATTATACGGGTTTTGTCTTGGGCAATCTATTTCTTTTGTCTTGCCATCCTCGATAAGATTTTGGAAGGAATAGGAAGTTTTCTAAGCCTAGTGATTCATGATGTCATGCTGGTTTTCCTTTCAATTGGCTTGCTTATGAAAGCCACGAGAAGCTTCCGATCTAAATGTCGCTGAAATGCTGACTGACATAACGCCAGAGCTAACTAACTAACTAGATGGCCAAAGTACTTCCTTTGTCGCGCCAACCTCTCAGGAGTCAGGACAACGTCCACTTGGGTCCGTTGATCCGCTCTTAGTGCCCGTTTCCGGACACTCAAATATGCACTAGGAATATCTACAAGACTAGCCACGGTCTTGTTTCCAGACACTCGTCCGCAGCCTCCTTCTGACTAGCGTCCCAGCCATGTCCGTCCCTATCTGCGCATCTCCCCTGTGGCGTGGTCGAACGTACAAGCGAACAGCCCCTCATCTCTCAAAATCAAGTGGGGGTGAAACAATCTTGTAATTAAGATTGGCGTCAAAAGAAACCCGTAAGGCGGCTCGATGCATGTCAGACAACTGATAGCTAGGATAGCAGATCGTGGTACGTACGTCGTGAGCGCAGGGACCTTCCCACGAGGGGTATTTGGGCGTTTCTCTTTGGTCAACCGCCGCATGCGGTACTCAGCGATCAAGCAACAATCAGCCACGCTTGCATATGGGAACATGTTGGACTCCCTAGGTAAGTACTACTGCATAGACCGTCCCCCGTTGTCCGCATGCCATCATCTACGACCGTTACGATTGGCTAGAAATCCTTGTCCTACTCATCATGGACCTCTGTGTACCATCTTCCCCTTATCAACACTTACGTCGCTTGAGAACCTAAAGAGTTGACAGGCCCAATCTAGATGATCGAGATTGGCTTGGACCCAGGGAACCGAACTGGAGGGATTAAATCGCCTATCAGGGCCTATCAGGGCCTATCAGAACAGCTATATTTAGGCCAGTACTCACAGGAGGAGCCACGGACAACCCCGACTATCCAACACCAACCGGAAAGATACGTTCAGGCCAGGCCACCGTCGATCATTCTAGCCCGCTTTCAAACGCGGGGTCCCATACATAGGCGAAACCCAGCGATCTCCTATCCCCCCAGGTCTGCTTCCCGTATGCTTTCGCTTTCTTTTGTTCTCACACGTATTGGCAGCTTTACAGCAGAAATTATTTCAACGTGGCATTTAGCTCGTCGGGTGCGCTGCCCCGGGAGTTTCTCGGACGCGAGACTGGCGTAACCGAAACGATATACCTGCTCTGTGAAGGCGCTGATGGAATTAGCGACGAGGCAATTTCACTGACGTGTCTTGAAAGCAGCCGGTGCCCGTGCACCCGCATGGCCCTGGTATGGCCGTCGGGCCCTTTCGTGGGCTCCGGGGCTACTGGATTGGCCGCAACTGCTCATTGGAAGAGGATATGAGGGGCAGAGTGTCAAACCGATTGGGCCCGTTAGCTCATTACTTGACAGACAGTCTGATCTATCTGGCCCTGCGCAAACCTCACTAGTTCTTCGCTAAGTCGGAGAGACAGCGTCTAGCTACGGATGAAGTGACTTTGCTCGCGCGGATTGCCATCCTGCTGGATAACCAAGTACGCTAGCGACTGTTAGGTTTAGATTCTAAATCTCTGCGGCATCTCGGTGGTCTAGAACGAGGAGCAACGGAGCATTAGTCTTAGTATCAGGCAAGTAAATTTCGTGCCCGCTAGCATTCGCTTGGTGTACGAGCACCATAGCTATGGCGCACTGTATGTCGACTGTCACGCCGGTCAGCCTTCGACACTGCTTCTCACCAGGGCACTAATACGCCATACCTTTTGTTTCGGGTTGGCATACATTGCTTCTCTGCTCCTCTCTCCTTCACTTCATTATCTTAAGCTGACATGATGGAATGATACGTGAGGTGGCGTCTGCAATCACACGCTCGTCATATTACAATATGCTTGACGCGGGAAAAAATGGTAAACGCCACTACCGGTTCGCTCACAACTTGCTTGACTGAATTGCCTTTCGAGACCTGGCCTCTGCAGGCCCGCAGTATGAAACGCGGCAAAATCAGCCACTCTAATATTCCATTCCAACAATTGACGGAAAAGTGGCCATGCCAAGTCACTCATGCATAAACTATGCTGGCCAGTCCGGCCTCACGGCGCTCTTCGATCACCAATCGTCGTCCAGACATGAAGCATGTCTTCAGATCCAGTCCCTGCTTTGTTATCTGCATGCGTATGCGTTAACAATGCTTTTCTTTGCCTTCGAGTTTTCCCAATACACATTGTTTGCCTCTTACATTTGAGTATATTGGAATTAGACGCCGCATGCCCGAAGGCTGAAATGTGTCGTTCTCGAAGGTCTATCGTGTTTTCGACTGCTCAGAGGTTGCATGCAGCCACTTCAGTGGCGTTAACATCAAACGTCATGACAGGGGGCATGTTTGCTTGACGGCTCTTGATCGCCACTGTCAGTTCCCAATTCATACCGAGTTGGTGCACTATAGAGTTGACGGGATGGACAACTTCGACCCGTGTGGCAAAACATCATGCAAAAAATGCCAGGTTCAACTGACTGCAGCTTCTAGACTGGCCTAACATAAGCAAGCCCATGAGGTACTCACTTACGATATCAGCGTACACGTACCCCCCTCTCCTACAGCGCGTGAACTGAAATATCTGAAGAATAGCTTACCAACCGAACCATCCAAAAGCATTCAAATGAGTCCAGTCCTCATACAGACATCAAATTAGACAGTAGCAGAAGATTCTAGTCAGGGAATAATGCATCATAACCAGCTTCAACCTTCCACTACAAGGCATAACATACCAGGATCCCGCCAGCCCAGCAAATTAATATAGTAGCCATGACACCAAAATGTACCCAACGCAACTCTGCTCTCAAATAAACAGAAGCAATAATCATATCCTCCCATATTCAACCCTATTCAATAAGCCACACAACAAAACCAAACCTATCTTCTTCATACGATATGAACATAGCATAAATCACATGACAGATAGATAGATAGATAGATAGGTAACTACCCAAAACAGCCTAGCTTCAAAACCCAAACCGCAACCCAGCGGGAAATACGTACATCCAGACCCGACCCCGCGCTCATTCAGAGGGCGGTCGACAGCGGCGGCGGGAGGGGCCTACCTAATACCGCGCGAACGAGATTTTGTGTCCAGATATATCGATCCATAATATCTTGAATCTCTCCCCCTCATACCTCTATACGTCTATTTTTACATCCCTGGATATATCACAATGGCCGAAGTCGCCCAATCGGTTCCTGCTGAATCGCAGGCTAAGCATGTTGTTTACTGTGGAGGTAAGTCGTCTCTTCTTCCGTCTCTGCTATCGCTTTGGTAGTGATGTTTTAAGAGAGAAGATCTAATAGCTAACTGAATCTTCTACTATGCATAGTTTGCACATTGCCTCCGGAGGTACGCATACATAGACACACCCCATGCACTCGAACCCAAGCTCCCCGTCTTCGTCTTCGAGAATAAACCCCCCCCCTCCCCCGCCTCTGCTCGTTCCAGCATTATATTATCTATATCACCTAAAAGGGCGTGTGTGGCAGCCAGCTAACATTAATTTCGAAATCGATTAGTACTGTGAATTCGGCGGCACGGCCAAGAAATGCGAGGACTGGTTGAAGGAAGCCCATCCGGACATGTACCAGGCGTTATATTCTGAGGGTTCGTTATTTTTTTTGTCTCTCCCCCCCTTCGCCCACCTCCCGGGTCTTTTAGATCAGTCGCTAACTTGCGACCTATTTGTGCTATGCAGAAGCCCTCAACTCCAACCTCGCTACATTGTCGGTATCGGCTCGGGAGCGCGCAGCTAAGGATGCGGCGAAGAAGGAGGCCAAGGCTGCTGCGGCTGAGGCGCGCGATGCTGAGCGGAAGGCGGCGTCCAAGGTACAGATTAAGCGGGTTGAGCGGAACAAGCGGAAACATGTGACCGTTATCACGGGCTTGGATATATATGGGTTGGAGAATAAGAAGATCGCTAAGGACCTGGGCAAGAAGTTTGCTACTGGTTCTTCGATGACTAGGTCTGCCGGTGGAACTGAGGAGATTACCGTGCAGGGTGATGTGAGTGAGGATGTTAAGGAATGGCTACTCGAGGTGTATGGGAAGGAGATCCCGGAGGCCAATATTGAGCTCATCGAGGACAAGAAGAAGAAGAAGGCAGCTGAAGCGCCATGAGGTATATTTAATGGGCCGATGAATGCATAATGTACAAAATGCTATGCTCGGGGGACACTATGGGTATCATGACATTATTTATGGTTTACATATTAGATCAACGGAGATACGACAGTCTCGAGGCTGGCCTTGAAAGTTGTCCTGAGTCTCGGAAAGAGAAAGATCCAGCGCGCTCATAGCTCGTCAAATATTGTCAGTGGGTCTGGATGAGTAGTCCTGACATTAGTATCATCTCTAGTAGCCGTGGCTACGACGGGAACTGATCCCCCAGAGGGCCGATTATGATGACGAGAAGGGAGATTCCGCAGAGATCGTGGCCATGCTTCCCTCGGGCTATCTGAGACTGCTTCATGGCCATTCTCTGGTGGTAGAGCATGCGACGAGTTTGTTAGAAACAATGCTTGCGAAGGTAATCCAGAAGGGTCTGGACTCGTCGTAGTCGGCCAATTTTGTATCGCAACAGCGAGAAGAACTGCGAGCACGCCAGCTACCACCACAGTCCAGAAGATCCGAAGGCGCCGATTAACTCGTGACTGCCATTCTAGTTCGTTCTTGTCCCAACGATCAATTTCATGGCGCATTGCCTCGAGTCGACTGTTAAGCCCCTCGGCCCTCTGTCGCCCCGTCTTCATGCGATCTTCCAATGTCTTAATCCTCTCTAATTGGGGTTGAAACTCTTTCAATTCCCCCATCTGTTTCCGGATTTCCTTATCCAAGCCCGATGTCTCCCGCTGGAAGTCGTCAAAAAGGGCAGAAGTAGAACTAGAAAGCTCCTGGAATGATGCGATGGTCGAATTCAATGCGGCAATCTTCTCAAGAAGGTTGTAGTACGTATAATCCAGTCTACGGGTAATATCCGTTGCAAGGGTCCCGATCATTGACAGGGCAGACCGTAAATATCTATCACCAAACCAGTCAAAATCATCCCAAATGCGAACGGACAACAATCGACTTACTCCTCCCCTTGTTTTCTCTTACTCTTTACTTGCTCCAGGTCTTCCATCGAGCGTATCTCTTGACGCCTGATGGGACCAAGTTTGTTGCTCGGGTCAATGACATCAAGTAAACTGCCCTTTCGGCTCCCATTACCCAAGGCTGCGGTGGAATCCGAGCTCCAGCGCGACCAGGTTGTCTCCTGCGTTATGGGTCTAAGCAAACCATCGTCGGTATCGTTATCCTTTTCCTTGCTACCAGACCATGTTGGCAGAAGACCTCGAGAACCAGCGGACGAGGCGAGGTTGTTCATTCTTCGGGGAAACCGAAAGTCGCCGGATTTACTGTGCTTGTGCTTGTGCTTCGAACGGGATTTAGACTTAACGCGATCTGGACGGGGAGCGTCGAAGGTTAGAAGTTGGTGGTGATGCTTCTCTCCAGTTAGACCGGGAGGTTGAGATACTTCGCGACCATGGTGATTCTGGCCGAGTTGAAGACTTCCGCTATAGTCGCTGGTGGCACTGGGGGGCTGCAAGCTGGGTGGTGGTGCTGGTTTCTGGCTTCCGGCGGCTCCAGAGCCATGGGCCGGTGGGTAAGACGCGGACAGCTGTTTGGACGGTTGGGAAATCATGGCGGGCAGGAAGGAAGGATCCAGGTCAGTGAACCCTCTCCACTTTCCTTAGCACGCCCTGACCCGGATAACACTGCTCAACACGTTGGTCAACCTGGGCGGTCGGTTTCTGAAGATGTTTTCCATCGGTCGTACGACTCGCGAGCAGAGGTGAAACACAACGTGGTTGAACGTGATGCCAAGCGCTGATCCATGCGCTGGCCGATCGAAGGTATCGGCCCCCTGATCCCGCAAAGGATTAGTAGGCCTCGGAATATATACTTCCATTGTGATTTGACTACATCCGAGCATTCTGATGTATAAAATCAAAGACCAGTCTGTGCTTTTCCTTTGAGGCGTAAAGTAACGTGGTTTTTCTGTACATTATTATGATGTGTTGTCATGGATAGGTCAGGAACCATGTAGATAGTTCGGTGTATCCATTGTAGTATATACTATTCTGAAAGGTTGATTTCTAACTCCACGGTCGCCAGCGAACTCCACTTGTCATGAAACAGTAGCCATCAATCGGCCGTAATTCCCAAACCCGGCAAGAAAGGAAACATGGTGTGAAGGTGAATGATACAGAAAGTTTACGGCGTGGGGGTACATCAGCCACCACTCGAACGAGATGTAGACGGGTTAGTGATCAACAGCAAAGGCGAAATAAAAAGAAGTAGAAAAAGAAAAGAAGCTGGGAGAATAATGAAGGGAAGAAGGACCAGAGCCGACGGCAATCAAGAGTTCAGCAACTTGTTGCGCTTTTCGCGGCGCTTCAGGCGCTCGACTCGCTTGCGGTGCATTTTCTCGGCCATCTTCTCATAACGTTCCTTCTCCTCCTTAGCGGCTCGACGATCCTTAATTCTTTGGATATGCGCCTAGGTGATTGTCAGCAAGATTAACAATCTCTTTTGTAAGACATGTCATAGGCTGAATCCCACCTGTCTCTCTGCCTCCTTTTCTTCCTTCAACTCTTTCTCGTGTTCCTTCACGGCTTCATGGTGCTTGCGTGCTTCCAGTCGCTTAGCGTAGGAGGTCATGCCCGAAGTAGGGCGGAACGGCTTCTTGGTATCATGCCAGTTTTTTCCTGCGGGTCCGAGAAGCGAAAGGCATTAGCAACAGTTATTTTCGAAGGCCAGGGAAAAAAAAAAGTGGGGTAGCTAATTTCATACCATTTTTCCGCATGCCCTTAATGGGGGCAGCAGCTGAAGGTGCGGAAGACATGATCGGACCGAGAGTAGGCAGAGCCAAACGAGTCGATCGACCAAATGGGGGGGTTTGTGTTGGGATGTGAAAGAAGAGAGAAAAGAAAAGAGAGATTCCAGACGGGATGATGATGGAATTCTCTTAGCTCTCCGCTGCCCTCTTTTTTTTTCGGGGCCTCCGAGTTTTGAGGAAAAAGTTATCTTAGACCGATCAGATAACCGGATCTCGGCAGAAGTGGTGCGCCGGGCCCCGTTCTGGCATGGAATTGAGGGATTTGTCGGCGAGAAGTCTGACGGATCACACTCAACTAGTTGCAGCACTCGCCGCAATCAGCCAACCGCCGCGAGGTCTACCCACCCCACCCATCGCTCATATCCCGATTTCCCCTGCCCCCTTGGCCTTTTGGGCTCGTGTTCCGTTTTACTGGCAAGCGATGTTCGCTCTCTCTTAATTTATCGCGCGTGGTTCGGGCACACCTCCAAGCAAAACCCCTCGTCGAGTCACCACACCGCCCCATCACTCTGAAAGTCTTTAAATACCCTTTAGACCGTTCTCTCCCTCAAACAGCTCGCGAAACTACAATGCTCTCTCGATAAGACTCGTCTATCCTTTTACCCCCCCACTGTGCCTCTCTCCTTGCATACACACCCGTCAAAGTCGTGTCGTGTAACCCGAGCTCGACTGCTCATTCACCTTTTCCCTGATGGCGGCCGCCGAACATGCGATAGCAATCAATGATGATATGTCAATGGAATTGCCTACACTTCCGCCCAACCAGGGCCTTGAGGCCTTCAAAGATATCGTGTTTGGGTCGGTAAGTTATAACCGTCGTGCCCAACCCTTGTGGACGTGAACATGACTGACGTTTGACCCCACTAGGCTGCAGGAATGGCAGGCAAAGTGATCGAGTACCCTTTTGATACAGTCAAAGTGCGGCTCCAATCTCAACCGGATCATCTTCCTCTCAGATACAAAGGCCCCTTGGATTGTTTCCGTCAATCCTTCCAAGCAGATGGCCTACGCGGGCTCTACCGGGGCATTAGCGCTCCCATGGCAGGTGCTGCCATTGAGAACAGCTGCTTGTTCTTCAGCTACCGTCTGATCCAGGATATATTGAAGGCCACTGTCTACTCCCCTGCCGATGACCTCCCTTTCTCGGCACTGGTGTTCAGCGGCGCTGCGTCAGGATCTATTACCTCCCTTGCACTTACCCCGGTTGAGCTTATCAAGTGCAAGATGCAAGTCCCCGTTACGGCGTCTGCCGGAACCCCCCCTGGTCCATTGACTCTGATAGCCACTGTCTTCCGTCAAGACGGTCTCCTTGGCTTTTGGCGCGGACAGTTGGGAACACTTATTCGCGAGACTGGTGGCGGTGCTGCATGGTTCGGTAGCTATGAGGGGGTATCTGCACTGTTCCGCGCATACCGTGCCCCATCTGCAGAGCTCAAGGAAGATGGAACATCCTCTGATTCCATTCCTATCTACCAGAAGATGATTGCAGGTGCCGCAGCAGGCGTCAGCTACAATTTTCTCTTCTATCCTGCCGATACGATCAAATCGCGCATGCAAACAGAGGATGTTACGCGAGGAGCATACAACGGCAAACGACAGACATTCTGGGGAGTTGCAAAAGCCTTGTGGAGACAGCAAGGACTAAGGGCTCTGTACCGAGGCTGTGGCATCACCTGTGCTCGATCTGCCCCCAGCTCCGCCTTCATCTTCACCGTCTATGAGGGACTACGGAATCATTTTGCCTGATTCTCAGCTTCCTTCTACCCCACATTCTCTTTTCTTCTCCAGCTCTTGCCCTATATCTTTTTACTCTCTCGCATCCCGATTCTTCCTTTCCTTCCCCCCGACGTTCGTCGGATGCTTCTTGTTTATACACTTTCCGGTTGAGGCGCTTTCGTATGATACCTACAGTCATGTTCCGAGTTAGATTCCAACATCTTCTTTTGAGACCATCAATCTGGTATTGGTGCGAAGAAGAAAATGGAGTGTTGATCTATTTACAATTTTCTTTTTATTTGCTGTCCATTATTATTTCATGCTTATGAATCTTATATATCTTCATCTTGTTTGATTTTTTTTTCTCTATTTTATTGTTGATATAGACGTGTGTGCGGGGAACCCGAAAAGGCAATTGGCGATTACTTTAGTGATGACATCATGGATAATATCGGGTGGGAGTCGATACAACCTTGAAACACAGGCAGCCGAGGTTACAGAAAAGCACCTAGATTAGATAAAAATTGAAGATTTGATATAGATAATTCTTGGTTATCCGTGTTATCAACATTATCGTGAGTCACCCTGAGACAAGTCAATCCTTGCGATAAGAGAGGGGTTGTGGAAACATGAACAACAACCACAACGGGCGTTTCTTCCGGTCCAGATGACCACTTCCCCGCGCAGTAACTACTACTAACTTACTACTACTACATCCATCCGTATATCTATCTACCCCCTACCTGTCAACTTCATTTGACTTTTCATTCTTGGGAATAGACCCATCCAGCCATCCAGCTAGACAAGGAGAAAACATGGTCCACGCTGCCGACCACCTCTCTGCCCAAGAGCTCGAAACGCTCTCCACCAAGGCCATCGCCGCCAAGGACACCGCATACTGTAAGTCCACCTGTCTTCCCCTAAACCCAAAAGCCGCCATGGCATATATCTAGAATTGACTAATGCGACACCAACAGGCCCCTATTCAAAGTTCCGTGTTGGCGCATGCATTCTGACCGAGTCGGGTGAATTCGTCCAAGGCGCCAATGTTGAAAATGCCTCTTATCCCGTTGGAACTTGTGCGGAGCGAGTAGCCTTTGGAAATGCGATTGTAAGCTGTCAACTCTACACCTCTTTTTTTTTTTTTTTTTTGCTATTTTATCTCCGTGTCTACTTGCTGTACCTTGCACATGTCGAAAATGAACTGAAGAAAATCACTCATGCATTTTTGCTTACTTCGTCGGACTGCTTTGCAGGTGGCCGGGCATCGCAACTTCAAAGCCATTGCTGTCGCAAGTGACATCAAACCTCCCGCTTCGCCATGCGGCATGTGTAGACAGTTGTACGTACCCTCTCCTGTCTCTCTCTGTCTCTCTATCCCCTGGCCCTGGTTTTCCGATTTTTCGTGCTGTACCTGCAAATAGCTTGCGCGAAAAGGAAGGCAAGCAAATTAACATGATTGGCTACCCGGGGAGTTCTATAATTCCCTCATCACAATAATGCGACAACAACAAATCACGCACGTAGTACGTACTTACTTGCTTGCTAACTACAATGATTCGTGTCTCTCAGTATGAGTGAATTTACCACCCCCGAATTCCCCATTTTTATGTACGACGGCGAGGGTAATTATACTCTTACTACAATGGGAGAGGTAATATATCTGACCAATCCATCCATTCTGTTCTGAATCAGTGGCTGACAGCTGGTTTTTGCTCGCATTGCAGCTCCTGCCGAACTCGTTTGGCCCGAGTGATTTCACTCATTGAGCATTGAATCATGTCACTATGTTTGATTTGCTTAATTACTCGTTGGTTGCTATTGTGGAGTAAAGCAGGATGATTGGCATGTGTAAGCGGGTGGGTGATTCTTTCTTTCAAGGGTTTTGGTTGCTGTTGTTGTTGTTGTTGTTGCTGTTGCCTGTTGGCGCTGCTGTGCTCGGTGTGTTCGTTGGAAGTCACCGCGGGAAAGGGTGTTTGTGGTTGGTGGTTGAAGTACCCAGGGTAGTTGGCTCCTGGGAGAGACAGATGATGATTATGATGCTGGGCTATGCTCTCCTTTTATTATGATTGAGCATCCAAAATGTACGGTGCTCCTCTTTTGAAGCAAAAGAACGCGTAGGACAAGGTAATATAATATGCTCATATGAATTTAAGGGGCTATTCAGGCTTCCATCATATACATCGCCTTCTAATTGAGTCGTCGTAATGAGCACCTCATATGAGGGCAAGCAAGAATATTCATATTAGACTCTTACTTCTCTTCTCTGAGGGGTCGATGTCTCAGTTTGTACCATGACATGCAGTTTGCCAAACTTCCTGCACGGCTTTATGGGATCAAACTGTCTCCGTAGATTATCATGTTATTGCTACGTCTAAAATGTTATGGCTCGAGTTGTTTGGGTAGTTCCCGAATTGGTATGAATTCGCAAACTCCAGATTATTGCAAGATACCCATTAGCACTGATTCTACTTCACCTCTATGACACGCACATTATATAGGCGATTAGAATAAGAAAAATAAAGACGGGGGACGCGAAAAACGCGTACATAGAGACACATTTCAATACATGACGTTCTCATAATAAAACATAACCTCATGGGCCCGACACCGTTGACGGACAGGTGTCAGGACGAGCCATAGCATTACAGCTCTTCCTCTTCATCCGCTTCGAGATCTTCCACACCAAGAAGCTCATCCTCGTCGTCAACAACACCAGTATAGTCGCCGCGCCTGGCGGCAAATGATCCGCGAGACGCATAAGGCCTTGAGTAACCCCGGTTGCGTCCTAGGCGCACATATCCACTCGCGCTTCGCCAGAGACTTGTAGCTAGCAGTGGGAGCGCCTTGATGACGGCCACCGCACCCGCAATTATGGCAACCGGGACGGTGATGAGAAGAGAATCTCGCGAAAGCAGACCCTGGGAGGTACCAACATTCTCCCCGAGCCGAATCTGGCCAAACTTGCCGTCCCACCTAGTATAGCCATAATAACCGACAGCGCTTGCTACAGCAATAGGGATGACGATCGCGAAGAAAAGACCAACACCGCTAATCCCATGCTTCTTCTTGTACTCTTCCTCTCTGTTGGGGCAAGGCTTGGAAACAATATGGTCCATTTCACGTCCACCCTGACACGTTGATTGAGGGAGACGCCGATACCCTGAGGGTTCCCAGTATTGATATGCGTCAGGGTCTTCTCTGCATACAGCCATGGTATCAGGAGGAGCGAGTCCTTGAACAAGAGCACAGCTGCCATCACTCTGGGGCTCGTAGTTGTAGTCACTGCCTCCGAATTAGCAAATGCACCATTTATAGGTAAGATGTAGCGCTAATGAAAAATAAGGGGAGGGGGGCGGTTGACGAAGACTACTTACCATTCAAAGTCAGCCCTCGTGCAGGCGCAGTTCT